ATAGATTTTTTAAATTTAAACATTCACCGTATTGTTTGATCACACCTTGTATACTTGGACTTAACTGCTGTGGGTCTGTGGTCTTCACTTAAGTGCACACAACCTCCACTGCAGTGTAGGGGCCCGGGAGATAGAACTATTTACTTTGTCAATGTTATGTCTTTGGGGATTTCTTTTTCTGTACCTGGTTTATAATGGAAGCAATATACTGGTAAAGGGTACACAGATATAATTTGTAAAGAAATATTGGTATATTGGTGTGCATGCTAGGTTTGTGACTGCAGTCTGTGGGTAGTCGCCAGAGATATCTTTTAATCAGGGAAGTAACTCAGTCAAATTTGTTATGGAAATAACATTTCAGGATGTTTGGAAGGGGAGCCGGCCCAAGCCAAGACCTTGGCATTGGGGATGAAGAGGAAAAGGATTTGAGCAATATTAAGGAAGTATATTTCCATAAACAAGAAGGAGCAAATGACCAGCAAGTAGTGCCAAGTGGCCGAGAGCATGGTCACTGAATATCAAATGCTCAATGAAAGACAAATACTCAAAGAATGTCAGGTACTCAATAAAAGTCAAGTGTTAGTAGCTGTAAACATTTTTTTTTTTTTACAAAGTTAAGTAAATTCAAGAGAGTGTTAGTTATATGTGGATGGTGTCAGTGACCTTGGCTAGATCGTGAGAGAGTTGCTAGGAAGAAACCAGATTTCACTCTTGGATAAGAAGAGTAGGAGACAGGGCCATTGCTAGGAGGAAGGCAGGTTATTTTTCTAGTAGGAAGAAACTGAAGAATATCTATAGGCTCAAGAGAAAGGGGATCAAATAAGGGATGAAAAATAAACAGCTTCTCCAGTATAAATTCTCAGAGCCTGCTCTCCCAACTCCCTGCTACCCCCCTCATCAGAGAAACCTCTTCTCTTGTCAAAGCACTCATTTAAAACAGTTAAAAATCACAACTCACACCAATATAAAGTGAGTCTGTGTCAAAGATTTATTTAGCTCATTAATGACAGAACAGTAGTATGAGAAAACTGGTTCAGAGGCATATGGAAGAGATCAAGTATTTCTGGCCAATGAAAGATAGAATGTTGAAAGAAGATGACCATGTTAGTTCCAAAACTGGCTAATATCTTGTAGGTAGGGTGGCCAGCCACCCGCGTTTGCCCCAGATGTTCTTGGTTTTAGCACCAAAAGTCCATGTCCTAGGTAATTTCTCAGTCCCAGGCAAATGGGAAGAGTTGGTCACCCAACCTACAAGGCAATGAACTATTAACTCTGAAGTTGACTCTTTCTACTAGACAAATTTTTTTCATCTTTAGTTTACAAAAAGCATTTGCAATTGACCAGTCTAAAAGAACATCCAACTTTACAGAGCCTGAGCTCAAATCAAGAGCAAGTAATAAGTCAAACGAAAGCACACTACCCCTAAAGAATCAATAATTTTGGGGGGTGCCTGTTACATGTTTCATATGACCTTGACATGCAGTTGTCTTTTGCCTTATTTCCAAGTGTTGAATAATTTTTCTTAACACTCTGGAAAAACAAAACAAAAAACTGTTTGTACACCTCATCCACAGCACCCATTTCTCTAGAGGAAAGAAAATTTGTCAAGGTTAGGCCTGGTCCTCAGATCCCAGGGGGACTGTGGTGTAAGCTTTCCACTTGCATAATTAAGAATTATTTCTCCTAAGGTATTCACCATTTCCAAAGGTTGCAAAGGCTTTAGAGTCCAGACAGGTTAGAGTTCAAACCCAAGGGGTTGGGTTTACCCAGGTAATCCGGGATAATTCCCTTATCTTAAGATCCTTAATCATAACTATTGGGTTGTCAGAAAAGTCATGACCTATTTTTTCTGTTTTTCATTGCAAAAATGCATTATGACTTTTCCGACAACCCAATACAAAGTCACCATTTGCCCTGTAAGGTGACATATTCACAGGTTCTAGGAAGTAGGATATGGACATCTTTGAAGGGGCATTTTGTTTACCACACTGTGGGTCAGAAATTCAGGTGTGGCTGGACTGGGTAGTTAGGGGGTTCTCCCATGAGGTTGCAGCCAAGATTTTGGCTGGGGCTACAGTCAGCTAGGCTTCAAAGGGGCTGGAGCATCTACGTGCTCCAAAGGCCGTTCATGCACATGGTAGGCAAGTTGATGCTGTTTTTGTCAGGGGGCCTCAATTTCTCTTCACATGGGGCTCCTCTCCCAGGGCTACCTGGGTGTCCTTCAACATGGCAGCTGGCATTTCCCAGAGCAAGAGATGCAAGGGACCAAGGTGGAAATTACAATCTTTTTTTTTTTTTAAGATTTTTTTTATTGGGGAGTTGGGAGGAGGGAACAGCGTTGGGGAATCAGGGAAGGGGAACAGACAAGTTGCTGTCCTTTGGTTCTTCAGCCTAGTTGTGGAGGACGTCACTTCACTGGCCCAAGTTGGTATTGTGATCATTGCGCTCTTCCCGGCTGAGGCAGATCGGTCGCCAGCCATTGGACAGCCTCTCACAGCAGCTCACGCCAGCTGCCCACTGCTCACGCTGACTGCCGGCCACTCATGGCCCCACTGCAGCCTACGCCGTCGCCATTGACTCACGGAAGCCCAGCTCCAGGTCGAGCTGTTGTTCACCATCTTAGCTGTAGAAAACACAGTGTCACTGGCCCATGTGGGATCCGAACCGGCGGCCGTGTTGCTCAGAGCTCATGCTCCCAAGCCACCTCTTAACCAACAAGTCACTTGGCTGGCCCTGCAATGCATTTTTTGACCTTTGCCTTGGAAGTCACACGCTATCACTTCTGCAGTATTCTATGGGTCGCACAAGTCAGCCCTTACTGAATGCGGAAGGACCACCCAGGGGCTTGGATACCAGGAGGCAAGGAT